GTGTGTGTGTGTGTAGTGTATGTATGTGTGTGTGTGTGTGTGTGTGTGTGTGTGTGTGTGTGTGTATTACTATTAAGAAATACATAATGCAAGAAAATAAGTTAATGTTATACGGTAAGAGTATAATTTAATGCAGTAAATATGTATATGCGTGTTTTAATGCGACCCGGGCGCGAATAATACATATTATTACAGGTGAGTATTATATATTATTTGAACATCAGGAAGATGTAATTTTGTAATATAATATTTGGATTTTTGGAGCAAAGATATGTACTTGAATTTTTACATACACACTGCGCGTACACTTGGCGACTTTTTTACCTTTTTATAAAAAGTATAAGAATAACATTGATATTATTATATAAATAAATAAATGGATACAAGTAGATACAAGTAGGAAAAATATAAATAATTACATACTGTGCCTGTGTTTGGTTTCTGGCAAATCATATTGCTAAATATTATACTTGTTCACGTGATGTATATGTAAGATGCGTCTCGTTATTGTAATTATAATCTCTGATATTTATATGACTCCCAACATCTCTATGTAGCAAACAAAGAGACAATAAATGGCTTCCATCAGCAAACTGGGTCTTCGTGTTAAATAATTTTTACTTTTTTCTGAATTTCGAGACAATGCTTATCGCGAACTACGTGCCGTTAATTCAACGATCTTGCAACGTAGCCTACTCAAAGTTAAATCTAAATTCACCCCTTCCCTATTAAATCGATAATCAAATTTGAAATCGATTAATCCCCGACTATTGAAAATTATTTTATTGCGAAAAATATTACACCAGCCAGGAATCGGACCTGGATCGCTCGCTTAACGTGCGAGTGTTTTATCTATTCGACCATTGAGGCATGTGATAATATTTGTCGCAATAATCGGATAAATAATTTTGAAAGAACGCTAAGAATAACAATAATGCCACGTGAAGAATAACAATAATGATAATTAGCCGATATATGTTTCAAACAAATAGACAATTGTTCAGCCGATATATGTTTCAGACAAATAGACAATATTTAAATAAAATACATAATAACGCGTAATGATAATTACAGACAATTGTCTATTTGTTTGACGTATATATAGGCTATATTATTGTTATCTCTTTGTTATCTCTTTTTTATCTCTATATGTAGCCTTAGTATTTATATCAAGTTAGTATATGTATCAAGCTCACGTTAACATTTCGACCATTTTTCATCGACATTTGTACCAAGTTTTTGTTAATATTTCGATAAAATAGAAGCTCTTTGACTCCTAATTGATTTATTAAAGTATAAAGCATGTGGTAGTGTTTTAAATATAATTACAATAAATTATTATAAGAGTCACATAATTGTCATAAATACATATATAGCACAAGTAAGAAAGTAATAATAATAATAAAAATTATTATAAAGAGAATGTTATAAAGAGAAAGAATAAGATTTTTCTATTAAACTTTTGCTTTTTAAAAATAAGTCGCGAATTATCTTACAAAACAAATCTTACAACACAAAGACAAAAAAATAATAAATCAGAATATTTTTCTCACTAATTTAATTGTATATTATTTATTGTGTTATTAAAGTTGTAAATATAACTTTATTGTATGTATGTATATATGTTTTAATATATTGTATACATAATATATATTTACAGAGATACGTAAACTCATTTTTAAGATTGAAATGTTGCAAATGCTTCTAATATTTCTTAAAATAAACTTAATCTTCTATTTAATATTGCGACCTGTCAATGGAAACAGTATCAAATCTTTTGTTAATCCATCGATGTATGTCGAAAATAATAAATTGCAAAAAGAAAAGGCATTGGCTCTTATTAACGAATTTAGCGAAAATTTAAAAAATATATCTGGTAAATGCATGGATGTAGGTTGTGGTCCGGGAGATGTAACAAAAAATATTTTTTTGCCGGCACTTAATTCAAATGCGGTAGTAATCGGTAAGAAATAATCTAATGCAAGAAGCATTAAAATAAATTATTTCTTAATTTAATATTCTTAATTTAATAATTAAATTTCATGAAATTATCACTTAATTTAGTCATAATTATGTCATAAAGGTACAGATATTTCGGAAAGTATGATTGAATATGCAAATAGAATGTCTAGTGTGAAAAATCGACTCAAATATGAAGTATTAAATATAGAAACTAAACAATTACCCAACCAGTACATTTCAGAATTTGATCACATAATCTCACTGCACAGTTTGCATTGGTGCAACGATATTCGGTAAGAAAAATTATTAGATAATTTTTTTATTTTCTTATAAAAAATTATAGTATACACATTCGCGCGCGCACATATGCAGAATAACATTTATATATTATTCTTAATCAATATAATTGTCTTAAAAATCTTAAATAATTGTTTATAATATTTCTCAAATTTTGTAAAACATTATAAAACAAAATAATCGTTTGATTTTACTGTATTTCAAAATTTAAATATTGTATTCTAAAATCAAAGCAATATATTTTATTTATTTCAAATTATAAAATGTAATAAAATGTAATGTTATGAAAATGTTATAAAAATAGTTAAAGCTTTATATTATATCTAAACAATCTAAGACAAATATATATATATATATATATATATATCAAGAAATAATAATTAGAATATGAATAATAAAAAATAAATATATAAATAAATTGAACTTGTTTGGACAGAGCATTAGTTTAATATTAATCAAATATAATATCCAGACCTATAAACGTCTGGATTCATGTTTTGAATTATGTGTTGATTACTTGACTTCATAAAGTGATCATTTGTCGAAAATAAGAACTGAAATACAGCCTCACTATATTTTATTGATATTATTAATCAGTTTTATTGTTAATGCTAATTGTTAATGCTAATATATCTCGTAAAATTTTTATTATTATAAAATTATTAATTTAGTTGTGTGTTAATGTCACTCATTTATAAAGAAAATTATTATAAAACCGACATTCCTTACTTTATTTTCAAACATAAACCATATTTTTCATAAATTAATTTTAATTTTTTTTTATCGAATAGACAAGCGTTTAAGAATATTTATCGTATGCTTCGATCTAATGGAACAATGCTTGTACTTTTTGCGGCAACGGAAGACATTTTTAAAATTCTTGACATTATGGCACAAGATAAAGATTATGCACCATACATGTCGGTAAATATTATTATTTATCTAAATTATTATTTTATAATTAAAAAAAACAAATACTTATTTATCTTTTATGTTTCTATTTGTTAAATGTTAGTTTTATATTTACACAGGATATAAAAAAATATACCTGGCCATTTCAAGACTCAGTCAACCCTCGCAGTGAATTAAAAGAATTACTCGAAGAAATCGGATTTACAATTATTCATTGCAGTCTTCGAGAAACACACTTTGTCGCTGACAATCCGGACCAGTTTTTATGTAAATATTTTTAAATATATATATAAATCAAACTTTGTGCTATATAATTGGTTTTTAAGTATAAAATGCTCTATTTAATTTTATTTAATTAATTATTTAATTACAAAATATAATTATTAATTATTAAATTGTATCATTCAATTATTTTTTATTGTTTTTATAGCTAGTATTATATCCTTCCTCGAATTTATTAATAAAATGCCATGGGACCGAAAAGAAAAATTCAAGAAAGACCTCAAACAAAAATATTCAGAAATGAACAGCTGTAAACAAAATAATGACACAATTATATTAGATCTGTACAATGTATTAATAGCTTTTGCACAAAAACGTATACCATGATTATATGTAATCTATTAATTGCTTATATTTATAACTTAATTTCTATTTGTGAAATTTATAATTATCTGTTTATTTTATATCATAAACAATCCATAAACAATTTAATAGATGTACATTTGTATAATAAATATTTTTAAATTTTATACTTTAAATATAAAATTTAAAAATATTTAATATACAAAGATACATCTATTAAATTAATAGATTGTTTACGATATAAAATAAACAGATAATTATAA